AATATTTGATGTTCGACTTATAACGCAATAGATAACAAGAAATGCATACTTTCATCGGATATAATAAAATCATTCAAAAATTAAGGACGAGGAAGTTATTCCAATTTTATACAATGAAGGGATAAGTGGTACTAATGGCGTTAATTTGGTGTATGGTACATATATGCGTATACACCTTATCGCTATTTGTCCGCCATTACTGGACATCACACAAGTTCCTGTAAAATTTTGACGTCATAATAATAAATGTCTAACGCCACAATGGAAAAGTGATTGTTGTATGACGTCAAAAGTTCGAGCGGGACAGATTCTCTGGTCAAACGGGAATAGCGATAAGGTGTATTGTGTTGCAACGACAATAAATACACATATGGTATTAAAGTAACAACATCTAGATAATCGATAGCTTTATTTTGTTTCATAAAAAATTGCCATCGTAGAGATACCAATATCTTGCGCAAGGAAGGGGTAAATCAAACTTTGAAACACTTTTAAAACACTTTCTTAATCTGCTTTCATCAAGACGTTAAATGTTTTGGATTGGTAACATACATGTTACGTGTCGAGGAGGATTTTTTTCAACAGACGTACGGCACTCCTATGGGAACCAAATGTGCTCCTCTTCTTTCAACCTGTTTCTTTACTGACAGGAGCTTTTCAGGCAGAATACAAATAACATTTTCAGTTCTCGTACAAATACATACATATATTGTCCTCACACTTAAAACTTAAATTTTTTGTGACTATGGTGATCGAATTCATCCCATCCAACTTGAATATAGAATGCACAGATACAGTTAAGATTGCTTTATATCTCGGCTTACATATAGAAATTGGTAATCTATACTCAGTATGAGCTTGCATATCCTATCCTGATTTACTTTGCAATGGATTATTGCTTACAAAGAAGCTTTTTTAACCATGGTATCGAAATGGTAAAGTTAATTCATCGTTTCGAATGTCTCACTGATGTCATCCTGATTTTGTTTTAAGGGTTTTGGAGTATCGTATGATCAGGGATTGTCCCAATTGTCGTAGCCATAATTTCGTCTGCTTTTCCTTGGTTGTGACATCACCAAATATAACTTATTGCCATGAACAAAACGAATATTGTCTCTAGACGAGCAGGATATGCTTGTTCTAATGGGTCATATGGCACCACCGTCAATATTTGGGATGTTAGTTTTTCTCAGTGTATTGCTTTGTAGAATGTTGTTTTCTAGTCATAAAGTTGTCTATGTTTCATCGACAAACTTTTTGATTGTCCCGTTGATATTAGATTAACATCACATCAGTGCTATATATAAAACAGCTTGTTTATGTGATGTATTGAAAATTATATATGACGATGCAAATCAAGGTAAAATGAATTAAGCATCTACTGTGCATGATTTGTTGTTTAGTCTTGGAATGAACTTGGATTGACCAAAATAATATTGATATATCGTTCGATGTTATACAGACAAGCATTAAAGACTAATATATGAATAAAATTTTAAGCAGATATATACGATTGTGAGAATGTAAGTATATATAGAAATAAAAATATAGATGTTTGTCTTAATCGAGATACATTAATAATGTTCATAATCTTTCAAAACTGCGAAGTGGTACATTGAAACTAAATGTTGAAGTTGGTCGTTTCTCTGATATACCAAGAGAATTGCGTTTATGTTGATGTTGTTACATGCAATGTGTCGAGTACGAATTCAATTTTGTGTTGGTATGTCCAGCATACAGAACAATCAGAAATAATATTTTGCCATGTTATTATTGTTCTTGGCAGAATAATTTAAAAATATCTTTAAGTGTTTGTTGAAAGCTACTTCTAGACCGCTAACAATTAAGCTCTGTAACTATTTGAAAAATGCACGGAACGCTATATACTATTATTATTGGTTAGTTATATTATTATTGTATTGTTCTCTGCTATAAGTCTTTTTGTCACATTGTGTATATGTTATGTATTGCAATAGCATACCATATAAATTATGATCTTGCAAATAGATATTCATTCATGCATATAATATTTTGTAAACCCTGTTTTGATAAAACAGAAATTCGAAGAAGTTTTTATTAGATAGATTTGTTAAACAATGTACAACGATATTTAAATTTCATGGTGTACATTGAGATCAATGCATTTACAAGATCTATTCTCAAGTGTAAATGGATTTTAGTTTAAAGGGTCGTTTTGGTTTTTATTTCACCCGAAACGTCAACATTCAGTCCTGTTAAAAGATTAAGCTAGTGTTTATATTTGGTTTGTAATGATTCAGTGCTTTTTAGACATTTTGCTTGCAGTCAGTCAAATACTGTTCGGTTATTTTTAGACAACTCTGTATGTTGTTGTTTTGTAAGGTAAGTAAATAGAATTAAACAGTCTGCACATAGGCTGGACAGATCTTTATTGACTGCAAACGAATTGTATGAATAGTACATAATTTTCCCTGTGGATAAATTTATAAATTTATCGAATGACAAAACATGACCTTATGATTTATTTTTCAGCCTTTTAAGAGGTGTTGCAATCAAACTGGCCGTTTCAATTTCAAGCAAGTTTTCTATTTGAATGTAATTCGATCTAAGGTAGAGTAATTTCTACTTTTATCAGGCAATATGTCATCGTGGTATTTATTACTTACCCGATTCAAAGAATCGTGTCTATATTGTGAATAATATTGTTTTAAAATAAGAAGTAAATAAGAAAAAAAAAAAAACGTGAAAGAACTGATATTATGACAGAAACCCAAAATAGAAATAAGAAACAAAAAGATTCACACAGATTTTAACTTTCTGACAATTAAGTTTCCGCAAAAATACTTTACTCAGCAACCATATAAAAGATACCTAAATACATAAATACCTATGTTTTGAATTCTTACCACATGACATATTCGTACACTCTTTGTTCTTACTCTGCTATAATCTAGGTAATGCACATGTAAAAGAGAGGCGAAAGATACAAAAGGAACATTCAAACTCAGAAGTCGAAAATAAACTGACAACGCAATGACTAAAAAAAGAAGAAAAAAAAAACCAGACAAACAATAGTACACAAAACACAACACAGAAAACCAAAGACTGAGCAACACGAACCCCACCAAAAACTAGGGGTGATCTCAGGTGCTCATGAAGGGTAAGCAGATTCTGCTCCACATGTGGCACCCGTCGTGTTGCTCATGTAAATACAAACCCGGTGATAAGTCTAATTTAGTAGGTCAAATTCGGGGGAAAGGGGACGGGATTGTGATTACGACAATTGGAAATATCCGTCATCATCTGTGAAACAGATATTCCATTAAGGGCAACCAACTCGTGATGGCGCCGTCAAAGTTACATAGAGATGATTTCATCTTCACCCCTTGGAACTCTTAGTTTGATAGCTTCGTGGTGAGCAGCGACCCTCTATCAAGGAAATCATGATAGGAAATACAAGCAATGGAATATCGTATCAACAGGAATATATACTCCATATGCAGGCGCTGCTGGAATATTGCTACATAGAAATGAGAAGCTGCAATCATCTCTTTTGTCGTAAAATTTTGTTTTCAACCCACCCCTATTGTCAATTTCTAGATGTAAGTCAAGATATGAGACATACTTAACTGTATCTGTTGTATCCTTTATCTAAAGTTTGATGGGGTAGATGCGTTCAACATAGTCACAAGATTTTGAATTATTTAGTTAGAAAACATCATCTATATCATTGTATATGTAAGTTAAAGGATACTGCTCCTTCTTTTTCTTTCTTTCTTTCTAAAAAGTTCCTGCATGAAGTAAGCCTCATAAGAATAAAGAAACAAGTCGACAAGAAGAGGAGCACAGTTGGTTCCCATTCAAATGGCGATTGTTTCTTAAAAAAAGTCCTCCAAACGTGACAAATATGTTGTCAAAAAAAATCAAGCATCTTTATAGTGTCAGTTTCAGAGATTTTTTTGTTTGAATCAGAGAGATATTTTACAAAGTACGATTTTTTCCTCCCTAAGGCAAGATACTTGTATGTACGTTGACCATTCTTTGTTTTGAAACTGAGCAGGACCAACTCTTTCAATTTGTATTTTTAGTTTGGAATGTGGAATACTTGAATGTATAAAGTGTAGAAAATTTTTATTACTATTGCAAGATGAAAGAGTTTTATATTGTATGTACTCTTAAAGATCTTTGAAATATTTTAGTATCTACATCTGATTCACGCCACCTCTAGAATAGGTAGTTTCACAATAACTTTGAAGCCAAGTTGATGTTAATGATTTAGAAAGAGGTTTCGTGCAGCACTAGGAAGACCCAGCAATATACCGTTGTTTGTAAGGACACTTATGTAGTGTAGGTATCAAATAAAGTGAAGGAAGTAACTGTGCAATTAATTAACTGCCTCAGATATACTGCACAGTTCAAATGCACTTTTAACTTGGAAAATTTTATAATAGTTTTTGTTCAATGCAAGTTCTAAATCTTTGTCGCAAAGACAACCTAGACAATGGCTGTTTTGTAATTTCTGAAAAAAAAAATAAAGTTCTGTCCTTCAAAATTCCAATAAGTAAAATCTATTTGCGATTAGTCTCTGACTCAATGTATTTGAAATGTCATTTGGTCTCTGGTGGAGACTTATCTCATTTGCAATCATACCATATCTTCTTATTTGTATATATCAATGGTTTCAATACGATTTTTGAATAGTCTGTTTAGTAACCGTATCGATACCTGATTTTATGAGGATTATGTTTTAAGAATGTGTCTTAACTGGTGGATATTTGTCTCATTAGCAATCATACCACGTCCTTATTTTTATATTATATATAACATAACTACGTTTGCATGCAAAGGACATCATATAATTAACACGGATAACGTATAATAATATAGTTATCTTATGTTATTGTGTAGTAATTGAGATTAAGTTTTGTAATGAGATCATTTGTTGTCTATTTCGGCAAAAAGAATACAATATTGTAATGTCCAACATGTAAAAACATGTAAAGGTTTTCATTTTGCCGACATTCTTATTAACCAGTTGTTTGATGAGAAAGACAATCCCAAGTATGAAAACAAGACACTATTACATATATTACTATATATTTTTAATTCTTTTATCATGATATTTCACCGTGAGAAATCCCCGATCATAATTTTTTCTATCTTGATTTACATACATAATATTTTTTTTTATTGTATAAACATACTATTCGATATACCCCAAGTTTCTAATTTGTATTACAAGATTTCTATGGCTCAATATTATATTTATATCACCGGCAATATCATGCACCAAAAACAATATTTTTTTCTTTGACGTAATCACTTTTACAGTTTGTTCTTATTTTATGGTGTTACACTACTGACCCAGGTTAGTGGAGGGTTGAGCGCTTATAAACATTTTTAACCCCACCACACACTGCATGTGCCTGTCCCTAATCAAGAGCTTGTAGAACATTCGTTGTCGTTGGTTCATGTCTGACATATTTGTTTTCTTTAATTATTTTCTTATAACGTAGGCCGTTAGTTTTTTCGTTTGAATTGTTTAACATTTCTTATTCCGGTGCCTTTTTCAAAAGCCGACAATACGAAATGGGTTTTTATAATTGCTGAAGGTCGTAACGTGGCATATTGTTGCTTACCACCACTCCATTTTAACTCTTGTTGGTTGTTTGATTCACAATGGCAATCATACTACATATCCGCATTTTTATATGAATTAATTCTCCATGTTCAATCTTTTATTCGAACTAGACCTACACATAGTAATGTCATATAGTTATATTTGAACAAAAGACTGAACTTTCACCCCAAAAAAACTATTTTGTATCCGGCACATATTCATGTGATTTTTCAAAGTCAGAAAGAAACATTGTCAGCGGTTGACTAACGACATGTCATTAGAGTCATAAACTACCAAATGCATAAATTGGATATCTTGTTAGTTGTAAACAGGGTCTGCATTGTTTCCTGGTGACTGACGAAAGTTCCCAGACACATCGTAGTCATCCTCTGTAATTCTCCTGTGTGCAATTCCGTAATCACCGTCGCATGTGTTATGGACCGCATGACGTACTGTATGATCATACATAACGTCAGAGTCTTCTGTGGTGTTCCGAATATGTGAATACGTATTTGACGTATCAGTTGTGTTATCTAAATTTACTGCCTGGGATGTTGACATATGTATTTCGTCAGGTGAACTCATCAGATGAGCTGGTTGATTATTATCTGGTTCTGGTTGACCATGAGTAGGATCATATGTTGGATTCAATTCTGTCGACAATTGGTTCCTTGAAGGCTTCTGTGTATTCCGTGATCCATAACGTCTTCTGGAAAAGAAATGTTATTTGTTATTAATCTGCCATTACATATACATATATTTTTAAACCATTTTTATTAAATATATTGATGTAAAACTGAATACAACACGTTATAAATTACATGCAGTCGAATCGGTTCTCCGGATTGACTTTCACCAAGAACGCTAAAAGCTAAATATTTGAAAGCAAAGGATGTAAAAGAACCGAAACAGTTGGAGTTAAATTCTTGGTTTTATCATTCCTTTTACGTCTTAGACAGTTTAAAAAAGTGTTGATCTTTTTCGTAATATTTGTTTCTTTTTACAGCTTCAAAACTATACAAAATAATTTTATATGTTCTACCACTAAATGAGACAATTAAGTGTCGCCAGTCACATTGAGTTCAGTGAATAATCAACTCATTTACTGTGTTCATTCTTTTCTCTATCATCAGTGTCAAATATGACAAAGGTGCATCGTTTTATTATCCGTTTTCATCAATATATTTAAATCATTCATTTGATAAATTCTATGATGATAAAATAAGGTCTTGTATTCATGTGATGGTAATAATTACCAGCCCTAATCACCATAAGTCACAAATTCTACCCGGTATTATTGCCAATGTATTGCTTATTCTTTGTGTTCTTTGTTTACCAATCTTTTATCTATTAAAGGTTTGTTTCGGAATTATGTCAATTATCTATACCACATACTCGTACCTTAAAAGAAAAACTCCAACTATAATACATATGATGAGTAAAACTCCTGCTATTCCTCCAATAATGACAGCATATTTGGGACCGTCTGTAAAACGTTGAAATACATATAAACATCATAAACATGTCAGGACAAATATTTTATAGGTTATGCAATGGTATAAACGCAACGTGCTGAAATGAAAGAAAAAAAAACAATATGCAATACAAACAAACTGAAGAAAACAACTGTTAAGGAAGGATTTTATGTCACAATCAATAATTTTAATAGTTTGTATTTATTGCAATGAGGTAGGTTTAATATTCAATAATGATTCATTATACCGACATACACTGAAGCATGTGAGGGGTCTTTTGACAAGGCGAGTCGTTTGCATAATTTTAAATGAACAACGCCCATTATGTTGGGAAATATTGTTATAAGTGATAACGATTTGTGTAATATTTCAGAATTTGTTTTTCAGGGTAATATCATATACTGTAAATTCAGAAATTATTGCGTGCATTTATTTTTGCGATTGTTGAAGGATGGACTAAAATGCAAGATTAATTATTGCGATTTTAGGACAATCTGCATACAGATATAAGTATAAGATATCAGAATGCGAGTTCTTATTATTGCGATCTTCATCCACTCGCATTATTCGCATTGATAAAAACCTCGCAATAATTTCTGAATTTACAGTAATGCTACGACGAATATTGCAGATAACACATCCAGATGTTTATAACCGAGAGACTTAAAAGAAAAACAATAATACGAAAAACAAAGATAAGCTGTGCTTCATATAAGGACTCAACATAATTTACAATAATGCATTATGTCATACATAATTTATATTACTACAGAAAGGTTATGAGACGGGATATTAAGAATATCAATTGGTGATGGTGCTTTACATGTCTAAAGTCATTGTTAAATGCCGATTTGCTTTTCGATTTACAGAAACGGTTACGCCTATTTATACAGGTGTTATCGAAGATTTAATGTATTCAAAAATGTTATTAAAAGCCGGTTAACATCCTTACTTTCTGCCTTAATTGAATTCCAATGAAGATTGTTTTACTTTGAACATATGCTTTACTGCAGTCTATTCCTTTTTCTAAAGTTCGATGATTATCTTCCATTTATATTTTGTAAAATTTGCATGATTTAAATTAAGCTCTGAAACTCGTGTTTTTCGTTTGGGTTTTCTTTTTTACCAGGGTTTTAATTATAAGTTATATGCCTTGCTTCTGACCCCCTACAGATCCATAGAGGGCAAGTAAAATAGAGAGGTTGAATCCCCTATTGATTTTACTAACCTCTATGGTTCCGTAGAGGGGTCGGTTGCGAACTGTATAACCAATTTATTGCACACGGAACGTTTCCTACCAAGTTTTGTATAAAAATAAAAAATGAAATTCAATACCAATAATAATAAACGTAACGTCATGATAACCTTTTAAAATATTCTTACCCGCTACTGATAAATAGGGCATCCTGTAACTGCATTTAACCTGTAACTGCATTTAACCAACCACAACATAACTAATTTACCCAAGGTGCAATAATAGTTCTTGTAAACTACTAGTATTCCTATATTCCGTATATCTTATCAAACCTCATGAAAATTTGGTGGTTTGATTTGTTTTGATTTGTGATTAAACTTGCTTTATTTGTATTACTGGCTATAACTATATATTGGTGACGTGAAAACAGTGCTTTAACAAAGCAAACATATAACGTTCAAAGCATCCCATACCGCATCCAAAATTAGAAAAAATGAAAAGAAGTACAAATATTTATAAATCAAATGAAATAAACCCTAAATTCAATGTGAGGACGCACCGACACGACTGTTTAGATAACGTCAGGTGAAACTTTTATCTATCCTGGTTTTTACCCTATTAACGTCAAATGTCATGTATGATAATGCAAGTATTCTTTCCCAACGAACTTACAAACTAAAGTAGTATTATGTTTGTGATATATACACCAGGCAAACTCGGATAAAAACGTAATAAAGTAGAATTTAATCTAAATATCGTTTTCTAACGTTAAATTCGATCGACTCCCTCATTAATTAAATGGTGTACGAAGACTGTATATAAGTGTGAGAGAAAGCCCGAATAAATAGAATTATATACATATGAATCAATTTTGAAAACAAATAAAAGATCTTTGATTCCAGTTCGACAATAAAATCACAAGAATATATGTAAGAATTCATAAATGTGATGTCATAAAGCGGGTTATACAGCAATCAAATAATACGAAATAAAATTGAGAAAGGAAACAGGGAATACATCAAAGATCACAACAACTCGACCAAAGAGCAGAAAACAGCCAAAGGCCACCAATGGTTCTTCAACACAGCGAGAAAATCCCGTACCCGGCGGCGGGCTTCAGCTGGCCCCTAAACAATAACGTATACTGGTTCAGTGAAATAGACGTCATATTAAACTCCGAAAGATATAAATTAACCAAAAAAAAAAAAAAAAATCAAATCTAAGAAAAGCTAGAGGTTTCTGACTTAGGACAGGCGCAGAAAAGCGGCGGGGCTAAAATGATTTTGTGAGATCTCAACCCTTACCTATACCTCTAGCCAATGTGGAATAAACAAACACAGAGCAATACGCACAGTAAAATATTCAGTTTAAAAGAAGTCCGAGTTCGATGTTAGAATAGGTAACAGAAGAAACTTATCAAAATGACAATAATCAACATAAATTAACAAAGGACTACTAGCAGTTACTGAAATGCCAGCTCAAGTGCTAACTATGTTAACATACAAAATTTACATTGTATGATGTGTGAAATGAATAGACAAATTGCTTTTCATATGCACGAATTCATGTAAATTATATAGTTTGCTGAGAAAGTTTCTTTCAAAAATCTAATTATAAACAGAACAAAAACAAACAAATAGCATAGCAAAAACAAAAACAAACAAGACCTTATCTTCGCAGTTCAACGTATAAAAAAAAACTATAGATTTATGCGTCCACATCGTTTCTTCAAATTTACTCTCATTAGGAACGTTCTAATCTAATGATTTGGATGCAATGCCTGCGATGTAAAAAAACGATTAACCATTAAGATATATATGACTTAAAGTACCAAGAAAGTGTAGTCAATTTCGTTCAAGTTGAATTTTGCCAGAGGTAGATGGAACTTGATTTTCTAAAAAACATATTTTTATTTATTAAGTGGAACTTGTAGAAAAATGTGTTTTAAATTATGTCAAAACCGAAGCCCCGACTACTGAGCTGATGATCTACATGACATAAAAACATAAAATCAATAAATTTACCCACCATGATGATAGTCCGTAGTTCTGTTCTCACTTGGTTTGCTAGTTGCATCTGAAATAGAATATAAAATCAAACAAACAATATCAAACAAACAAAATAAAATAAGAATTAAAATGTCAATTGTTCTTGAACAATTGAGAGGTCTTTCCTTTTTATTATGTAAAATATATGTTTAAATAAGCGGATAATGCATTGCAAAGCTCTAAAACACACACAAAACTCTTAAAATATGGCCAAAAACACATAATTCGGAATTTGGGACATGACCTTGACTTTTGACCATATGACCTTTGTCAAGGTCATTGGTCCACGATGTCATAACAAAAGACCCCATGGGTCTAGGACCTTTGGTTCATGAGTTAAAGCTTATTTTGTCTTTTCTAAAACAGTTTACAGGGGTTATGCCCCCTTACGGATAGGTCAAATCTTTTCGGTCAAAATGTAAAAAAGTTGCGCCTTTATGTCCCAATTATTTTTCACTATTGACTATTTCTGTAAATATTATCGTTTTTGAGATATCCAATAAATAAGTTTTAAGGTCAAAGGTCAAGGTCAACCTCAAAAGCTTTAAAACACACTAAAAATCCCTAAGAAAAGGTCAAAAACAAGTAATTCGCTACCTGGGACATGACCTTGACCTTTGACCTTTTGACCTTTGTCAAGGTCATTAGTCCCCAATGTCATTGCTTAAGACCCCATGGGTCTAGGACCTTTGGTTATATAGTAAAAGCTGATTTTCTCTTTTTAGAAACTTAAAACAGGGTTTATGCCCCTTACAGAAAGGTCAAATCTCTTCGGTCAAAATGTAACAAAGTTGTGCCGTAATGACCCAAACATTTTCCACTATCCAAAACTTCTGTAAGTATAATGGTTTCCGAGATTATCCCATAACAAGGTGTAAGGTCAAAGGTCAAGGTCAACATACAAATTTGACCTTGAGGCATTTTTTAAAGTTACATGAATTGATGATCATTGGTGAAGATCCTAGGTGTCTACGACTTACGGTTTCTGAGTTTCGGTTGCCAACCGACACCGGTTAATTTTCATATGGGCATAACCCTACCAATGAGTCGTTGAATCTTTTCGATCCAAATGTAACGAAGAACCGGGGTTTGGTCCTGAACAAATTTCACCCTTCGGTTTTTTTCTACCGATTACGGTTACGGTGTTTGAATGATAACAAGGTTTTTTGGTTTCGGAGGGATTACTCCGGACCGACAAAATTTTACGACTCACAGGGTGAGTTCCGGATAGGTATTTGTGACACCGATACAAAGTGTGAACCTGAAAGCGACATGGCTTACGGTTACGGAGGGAAATTTTGTCAAAGTTTGGCGGAACAAAAAGAATAATAATAATAATAATAATCAGAAAATTGGAAAAGGAAAGACCTTAATATTAATAAACAGAAGAAATACAGTAAGGTCTTTCCCTTTTGAAAAAGGAAAGACCTTAATAACCAAAATAAAAACAAAATACAATCGAACCTCGTTGTGTCGGAGTCGAAGGGACCGGACCAAAGTATTCGATTCATCCGAGGTTCGACTCATCCGAGGTCAAGTGTGTCGTCATAAATTTGGAATGCATGAAATATGGTATGAGATTTGTGTAAACTAGATACAACGAACAGTGTGCCTTTTTTTTCGATATGACACTTTATGATTGTGTATTCAGTCTCCATTTTTGGTCCTTCGTAATAATTAAACACAAAAGTACAGATACCCATCATGCACAAATAAAATCAATAGTCTACACATTAGTTTACAAAGGTCAGTCACTATAAATTATGAAATCACTCGCGGTACGAAATAAGTTCTGAACGGTCTCTGATGAAAAAAACAATGTTTTAGTACTTTAGAAAAAAAGTATCACTTCAAAATAATCAATATTCAAGATTCCTTTATAATGTATTTGTACTCAAAGTGAATATACCAAAAATGAAAAAAACAGGCGGAATATAAATCAAAACGAGTTCAGTTACATATGTGGCATTTTTTTACATTATGAACACATATGTGATCTATAGATATAAGAAGATGTGGTATGAGTGCCAATGCGACAACTCTCCATCCAAGTCAAAATTAATAAAAGTAAACCATTATAGGTCACAGTACGGTCTTCAAGACGGAGCCTTGGCTCACACCGAACAGTAAGCTATAAAGGGCCCCAAAAATTACTAGTGTAAAACCATTCAAACGGGAAAAACCAACGGTCTAATCTATATAAAAAACGAGAAACGAGAAACACCTATGAACCACATCAACAAACGACAACTACTGAACATCAGATTCCTGATGTCTATAATCTCATCAACTACTGTAAACAGAGACTGCATACGGTAAAGAATAAGTCGGGTTGGTCAACTGAATTTTATTAACTTAGTGTACCGAACGTTTCTAATCAGAATCTGAATTCAGTCTTTTATTATTTTGCTATTATAATCGACTTGTCGTAGCCCAATCCCTTCCGCGTTTCGTTGATAGTTACATCACTTGTCATAATTGTATTACTTGCCACGTGCATTCCCTTCCAGATCACTTGATTTCAAACGGATCTTTGGTACACGGTCAGAATTGTTAACTCATAAATGTTTTGTTCGGGATTGGTATAATTGGAATTAATGACATTTTTTTTATTAAAGGCACATGGTTTGTTGATTCGTCATGTATTTTAATTTTAAATATAAACTGAATATAAGCTGAAACCCAGAAAAAAATCCACTGGACACATGTATATTTGTATGTGCTTGTTACAGAACACTACATTTGTGAAGCAAAAAATACGATTTATCTGGTTGATTTTAATATGACAATTAGTTTTGCAAACAGTGAAAGTGTTTAAGATCATTGTACTGCTGGGACTTGTTCTCATTACCCTTATTTTAGCATCGATGTTACTATGCATTTTGACTGATGCACACGCAATTATGATACATTATAACTGGTTATTCAAAATTAGTATTTTAGGGTAGCAAAGAGAAAATGTGTCTAAATATTTGAATTTTTGTGAATTGTTGCCTTTTATAGGCCCTGATAACCGCAAAAACCCAGAAACTTGTCATTACTGCAATCTTGTAATACGTTTTAGACAAATTAATTAACCTACCAGTTTCTGTCGAAAATCCTATATTACCATCATCATTGCCTTGTGTGTTTTTGCCTACTGAAACAAGTAATAAGAAATCGATTTTCAAACAAATAAAAGTATCAAAACACAAAGGATTTTTAACATTTATTTTTCTGGTTTATTTTCTCATTGTACTCATCACTTGCTGCACTTTCTCTCGATTACGAACGATTGATTTTTTTTTCAGGATAAAACGCTGTCCTAGGATGTTTGTCTTTTTGAGATCACCCCCAGTTTTTAGTTGGGTTCGAGTTGCTCAGTCTTTAGTTTTCTATGCTGTGATTTGTGTACTATTGTTTGTCTGTTGGACTTTTTCTTTTTTAGCCATGGTGTTGTCAGTTCATTTTCGACTTATGAGTTTGAATGTCCCTTTGGTATCTTCGCCTCTCTTTTAGAGTTGGTGTCTCTTCGATTTATGATTATATTTACCGTAATATTCATAAGAAATACATTAAATGAAAGCGACTGATTGTGAATTTGTTTACAAATAATTACTTCACAATTTTTCTTAAAATTCAAATATTCGTACACTTTAAATATAAACTCATTGCTGAAGGCCGTACGGTTGCCTGTAACTGTTTCCATCAACTTCCTTTGAACTTTGGTGGATAGTTGTCTCATTGACAATTATACCACATCTCCCTATTTGTATACCAAATTATATCTACATATATATATATATATATATATATATATATATATATATATATATATATATATATATATACAAGTCTAAATTGAAAACAACGTTCAAACCTATGATTGCATTGGATAAAAACCGCAATTTTTATACGTGTGCATGCAAAAAAAATTTTTTGGTAGAGGGGTCTAATTACAGCACAAACAACATTTTCCAAAAGACCAAAAAGGTGAAAAAGTATATTTTAACAAAACGCATTTGACTAGCAGGTCGAACAATTGATGTTCTTAAACCCTGCTGACTGCCATTGGCGATTACCAAATAAACGGATCACAAGATGTAACAACATAGATCTTTAATTTTTTACCAAACAGAAAACAATAAACTTGCGGAAAAGATGGTATACCGCAAACATGAGGTGCAAAAATTTGTACACTATATCCGGATTTCGACAATTAATGTCTCTTCAGTGATGTTAGGAATCGAAACGGTATTTGGAAGGCCATATAATTTACCTCAATTTAGGATAGACTCTTGAATTTTGAAAGAGTTAAAATAGGATGAACGGATCATATAAACCCGAAGGCAAATATAATACAAGCCAAAACAAAAAATATAAACAAGTCTAAATTGAAAACAACGTTCAAACCTATGATTGCGTTGGATGAAAACCGCAATTTTTATACGTGTGCATGCAAAACAAATTTTTTAGTAGTGGGGTCTAAGTACAGCACAAACAACATTTTCCAAGAGACCAAAAAGGTGAAAAAGTATATTTCAACAAAACGCATTTGACTAGCATGTTGAACAACAGATGTTCTTAAACCCTACTGACTGCCATGGCGACTGCCAAATAAACGGATCACCAGATGTAACAAAATGGATCTTAATTATTAATTAAATACCAAACAGAAAACAATAAACTTGCGGAAAAGATAGTATACCGCAAACATAAGGTGCAAAAGTGATACACCAAATCTGGATTTCGACAATTAATGTCTCTTCAGTGATGTTAGGAATCGAAACGGTCTTTGGAAGTCCATATAATTTACCTCAATTTAGGATTGACTCTTCAATTTTGAAGAGTCGAAATAGGATGAACGGATTGTATAAACCCGAAGGCAAATATAATACAAGCCCAAACGAAAAAATAAAAACAAGTCTAAATTGAAAACAACGTTCAAACCTATGATTGCGTTGGATAAAAACCACAATTTATATATATATATATAAAGAAAAAATTAGAAGTCATTTTCATTCGAAAACAATTTTGACACATCTATTACCTTGTATTTATGTTAACTGTGACACATGATGAAATTGGAAATTCATTCTCAATATCATCAAATAAAAGGGAGCGAAAAATTTATATTGATTTAAAATGAAAATTTAAAACATTTTGTGTATATAGATTTGTGTTAATCTAGAGCTTTGGTATTTGGTCTTGCATCTCATTGATGTTTCCGCTAGATGTCTTATGATCATTTAGATTTATGTTGGTGTGTTTGTACACCTTTTTAATGATTCCGAGAAACAAAATGATATCTATTCAATTTTGTAAGATAGAGTGATTTTTTTAAACTTATAATGCAAAAAAAAAAAAAAAAAAAAAAAAAAAAATCTAAAAACAAAAATAGCACTTTAAAAGTTTTGTGCGTCCGAAGGACTTTTCTAGATTTCTTGATTGTTTGTCTTACCTTTACAGTAAAACAGTATATTGAGGTACGAATACTTTTTTGAAAATGAAAAGAATGGCACATTACATATAGCAACTCCATTACAGTTTTCCAATTTCCTATTGAATAATAGAGTTTTTGAAGATGTTCGAAAACTGCAACGTTTTTGTTGGTCTAACCAAGCTCTCTTTATGGATACATATTTTTTTTCTTGACATGTAAGTTGATCTTGGCTGTTACGCTTGATAGATAAGCATGTTTCACCTGCAAACGTAAAAAATTGTGTAAACATAATGAGATGTGATATGATTTTCAATGAAACAAATGTCCATTAGAGACCAAATGACGTAGATGTAAGTCACTATGGGTCATCATACGGCCTGCAACAAAATATACAAAACACATACTACCTGATATCAATTCCCCATTTGTATTAAAATTATAGAGAAACTCTAGTTTACCTTTGATATTAGTCTTTATGATAAGCAATTATGTTTAACATGAACATTTCCAATATTTGCGACCGAGTCCTGATTTTGATATTTTTCTTATAAAATCCATCAAAACCAGTTCACAAAATCATTAATCATTACTATTGGTATAGTCTACTCTATGGTCTTTTTAAATTCCGTATAAGGTCGGTTAACGTAGTGCACTTCCCATAAGACGATGGAGATTTCTTTTCTTAACCGAAATATCTCAAAACCAATATAATTTCAACAGGCATTTAAAGGAAGCTATTGAAACAAGGGTTCCTGATAGTAAAAGTGAAATAATTCTTTCGTGACATTTACATTATCATACAGATTGTTGTGGAAGATATTTGTCATTATGGGCAAGGGAATTTTAAAATCGGAGTTACCATTGGAAAACGATAACTAACCATATATAAAAATATGGAATAAATAAATAGTTTATAAATTTAGAATTGGATTTTCGGATGTATGGCTGTTTAGCGTCACATGAAAAAATAATTGCACATTCAAGACAAAAAAGATATCAATTTAAATTTAGATTTTTACTAGACCGACACACTGATTTATATCGATCTAGTTCACAAGGTTACAGTTCAATGGAAGACACGGTACCCTACTTTCACTCCTTATTCTGACTCTCAGGCGACCAGTCATTGCTCTTATTTCGTAATGAAACGATCTAAGCAGAGAAGCAGCAAATGCTGATCGTCAAATCTTTGATTTGATGCGGCCATGATTCGAACCAACGAATTCCCGCGTTAGAGGCGAATACACTATCACAAAAACATCGACGCGGTTCAAGAAAAATTAGAAAAAAAGATAATGGAATTAAATAAAAACAAAAGCATTTATTATTTAGAATTAGAGCAAAATAAGCGACACCATTTTTACTTAATGCAAGCAAGTATCTGACGTATCGTTCTAATTAACATATACATGATATATTGGATATGTATGTTAAGATGTCTTTTAATTGAGATATTTATTAAACGATTGTCCATATACTACGTCTGATACTTATGCTAAAAGTATACCTACCTAATAGTTTTTAGTATACATGTTTAAGTGTTTTTTTCTAATAACTACATGTGCATTACACAACAAGTTTAAAACGTGTTGTGGTCTTTACAAAATCATATATATTTTTCTCAAACAGAGCAGAACAAAATAAGGAATTAAAGATAGTCTATGTAATAGGTTGAGTCTGTTATTTTCTGATACAAAAAATTAAGACGGCAGGGAATTAAATTTCAAAAGTATTGTGATCGCTACAAGATCATACTTAAAACCTTTATGTTATCGGTCATATTTGCTCATACAGAACAGAAAAGAAATAAGGAAATAAAGACATTTTCTGCAATGGGGAGTCTGATATTTTCTGATACAAAAAATTAGGACGGCAGCAAGTCAAGTACTCTGAACATTCTTTCAATAACCGCGAGCATTTATGCATACGATAAAGTATTGCTTTTATAAGTTTGCTTGTATTTTAATTTCCATTCTATATCATATCGCTAACTGAGTTTTGTTGAATTTTCTTATATGTATATCAAATAGTACCATTCGCATTGATTTAGAATTACAAATGAGATATTAAGATATTAAAGCAACATATTCCTGTACCAGTAAAAAAGTGTTGAATCTTGCTTTAATCCAACATTTTCTACACAAAGTAATGCCTGCACGCAGTCAGCAATATGACAGTAGTTTTCCATTCGTTTGATGTTTTTTAGAGCTTTTGATTTTGCCATGCTATAAAGGACTTTCTTTCTGAATTTTCCTTGTAGTTCGGTATTTTTTTATTTTACTTTTTGGTTATGTTTGAATTTTATTTATTTGACTTGTTTTGTTTTTTGAGGAATTTATAATTGATGATGGCACATATCTGATGGCATATGTTTAATGTTTCACATTGTGTATATTCTTAAACAAAGGAATAAGACGTATAAAAACTTGACAATTGTTGAAGGGTGTATGCTGCTCTTTGGGTGTCTCCAGATTATTTGTATCGTTGCGTTACTATCTGATTGGGATACTCTCAAAGACCTTTCTTATTAAAACACAATCTGTAGTTGGAATTGTTTGTGTACAAAAAGTATTATTTGGAAGGATGTCAACTCACAGGTAATACACATAAAACAATAAATCTAACCCATACGTCATTCCCCTTAAATTACATTATAATGGAAGCCTAAAATTTGGATTAGAATTTGTCTACATTTTGAAATCTCAACATCATTTTCCCATTAAAGAAAAGACAGTAGTCTGCTCTCTGTTTGCACTCGATATTTACTATGTAGTAAACATAACTATTGTGTTAGAGATAAAAAAAAAATAACTATTTATATTACGTTTTAAGTAATTTGTGTAAGTAAATAAATCCAGTGATTTTTAATTTATTTTTAATTAGGAATATTGAGAAAGTATATACAATTGATCAACCCTTGGTCAAATATTTATCTAAGCTATATAATATCCCAAATATTTAAAAAAGAATATTAAAAAATCTCTAAGCACATTTTTGAAACACAAAATTAAAAATATATCAAATTTGATGATTAGCTTCCTTATTTGTATTAGTTTTTAACCCTATACTTAAAAGAAAAATTAGTAACAGGAAAAAAACACTCACGCCACAGTTAACATAGTATATCAAGAAGGAAGTGTAAGCAGTTTGAGTGTCATGTTTGAAATATCGAGAATGATATCTATTTATTTAATTTCACCTTGACACTTGAAGATAATTTGAACGATAATAATATATTTTTTTTCTTAAAATGGATTTTTAACTCTAACACAGATAGATTTGCTGAAGACAAGCTCAATACTGTTAAATATTATGAAGAAAACAGATAAAGACTTCCGATGCAAAGGACCACCCTTAACTTGCAGTGAGATGTAAGCTTTTGTTGGATAGTAAAGGGCTCACTTTTACATGTTTTACCTTCATAATTCTGGGGAATTCGTGTCGTGAATGAAAACCCCTTATCACTTATTTTTGTTGAAAACGAGATTGTCTCTTTTCCAGATACTGGGGATCACAAAGAAGAAACTTTTTTCTTTTTAAATCTAGCATCGATCTCTTTATTGCCATATTGTTTATAATGTATATTTTTTGGATATCTAATAATTTAATACACAGGGAAATTTAGCCAAATGCGGTAAGCTAAGTAAATTGTCAAACAGCATATAGTGCAATAAAGATAATTTAATTGTGATAACAAAAACAAAAACTGTAGGGTTGAGTACTCCTGATAAAGGTACATCTGTAAATCTAGAAAACTGCTTCAGCCGCACCAAATCTATTAAGTGTGATTTTTATTCAATCAACAATAAGATATATCCATCGTTTTATTTCAAGGCACTTGAAAGTAAGGTTATAAAATCGCAAGAATAGCATGCATTATGATCTAAAATATCAAAATAATTGATTCAAAATTCAACAACACTGGTGCAATTTGGGTCATAAATAAGAGAGATGATAACTTGTGAAAAATACAATCAACACTTCATAAGACTTCCGGAAACAGTTTTATTGCACTAAATATAAATCTACCAAGAGCGAAGCACGCTTGGTAAGTTTTAATAATTGTGATTGAAAAATATGTGCCAGTCATTTGCGCTATATCTCTTATATCTCATATATAATTACCAATTTATAAAAAAGAAACTGAGATAGAATAATAGGACAACTTTTAAAATATAAAGTTATTGAAATGAAACCCAGTTGACCATCCGTGGCCTGTAATCCCAATATGCAATCGAGCTTGTTGACAACTATTATTATCATCTTTTGTTTGTGTCTGTTGTAGGATTAGGAGAGAGCATTCAACACAGGTGAAGTGAATCAAATGTGTTTAATTACGAGAAATGACAACGTATATTCCAATTGATATAGCTTTACATACCGTGAGTATTTTCCACATTGCTCTCAGTACTTGTTGTAATGACATGGCTTCCACTATTAGAATTACGTAATGTATTATTTCCATCTGAAAAACGGAGAAATTTAATTTGTTTTATTGTGGGGCGTGTTTTGGAACTTATATGTAAATTATGAATTGATAAAGTTTGCAGATGATGCTATTTCTCGGCGAATAGAACATACAAGCTGAAGTCTACTAATTATATACTAAGATGTGAGTGTTTTCGGTGCTATTACGCGTCATTTTGCTATCGGTCTTTTTCATATCCTCTTAAACATACTACATTTTACTGCGAGATTGTCAATTAGTTATCAAATAAATCAGACAATAAACAATAGAACATTGAAAACCGGATGTTAGAGATCGGTTTCAAGAACAATCAGAGTGTATGTCCTAAATAATACAGCTTTATTTACCGTGAGTAATTAACACATTGTTGAAAGTACTTGTTATATTGTTATAATGTTATTTATACCAAAGAAACTACGTAAAACATTGCTGCCAACTAAAATAACGGATCAAGAATTTTGAAAAGATATAAGTGCAAGACTCGATTAAATTCTTTGACGTCTTAAGATATTATGACGTAATGTTATAAAGCTCTTAATACTGAAAGTTTACATTTTGACCATGTAAACATCTTAATAACGATTTCTGGTATTATTTTTGATAACATTTCATCTTTCTGTCCATTACCAAACACCTGCGTAATTTTGCTCTCAAGATGTCTTTTTTATTTGTAAACAAGGCCGTGCGGTTGCCTATAATTGCTTACACCAACTTCATTTGAACTTTGGTGGATAGTTGTATCATTGGCAATCATACCACATCTCCTTATTTTTATAATATTGAAAACTATCAAAAAACGTCTCAGAATCACAATAGTACTTACAGTTTATGCTATGTAAGATCTTATTCAGATAAATTGGCCGTTTCAATAAACAATACATATTATAGTGATATAAAACATGAACAAACCTTTACAGTGGTAATAAATGCTGGTCACTTGATGGTCATAGTTGTTGAATATAACTGAACATGTAGTCACATTAGTACAAATGTTACGTATTCTATTCTTTTTCTCTGTCATATTTTTTTGTGGAAATCTATAAGCTGGACAGTTAGTGTAATCATCCCACACATCATCAATCTCAATGAGACTGTTTACTGGACAAGTTATTGTTACTGTAGTGTTACGATGTACTGGTTGACAATCTGTATATTGTAATGTATACATTGTCTATCATATTTTATTAATTTACTATTTGTTAACTACAATCAATACAAAAGAAATAAACGATTATTATATTTTCTTTTCCGATTATCTAAACTTAATATATTATGCTTTAACGACATGAAGTTCTTTCATAGTTCTTTAGTTAGTAGCAACAAAATATATCGCTGCAAAGTGTGTTAAAATATACACGTTTAATATATATTGTATAGTAAATTGTTCTTTAGTATTGTTGTTACTTCAAACAAAATAGGTTTATAAGTGTAGATCATCAACTTTGAAGTAGTTAATACAAAAAATCATCAATTAAATGATTCCTTATTAATACGGTCACATACAATTTAAACCTGCAGTTTGACTCGTACTGTATATTATATACTCTAAGATTCGTGTGTGTTACATTCTTTGCACGTTAATACCTTAGATCGTTCTTTAAGGATGTCCGCTACTATTGTTTTTACCTTTTGTGAGATATTCGGAATCCTCTAGTGTTATCCATGTAGTGCCAATAAAAAGTTTGCCCGCTAACCCCTACTTTTTTGTCCGAATATTATTACATATAGGTTAAAATGCCATTTTTGAAAATTTTATTACTTGTTATCTTTTCATTGTTTTTAAAAGAAAAAAGGTAACGATGTTAAATATGTGAAAAATTTAGAGAATCATTTTTTGCCAAATTTTCTATTGATTATATCATGACAAAAAGGACATACAGTTTTTTGCTTTTACATATTTTATTAACTTTTAATCAGCTTTTTAAAAAGCTTGTTATTCTAAAACAGAGGAGCGACCATCCTTAAGAGAAAGGCGTTTTCTTTACAAACACCCCCCCCCCTTTTCCCAGTGGCGGTGTAATGTTGTTCACCTTTGATACCAATTGACTAAGTTAACAAAATCTATATAATTGTTTACACGATATTACTAATTTATAACTGATCATGCATAACATGAAAATAATCCAGAAAATGTAAGTATCTAGCAAACTGCGTTCTTAAAAGAGAACAGCAGATGCACATTACATAGATAAATTTCTATAACATGCTCTAGATTGTCAATACTGCTTGAAAATAAACTTAACAAATAACTGTTATCCAACAAAATGTATCTTACTCAAATGCAAACAGTTTTAACTGTTTAATTGTTTACCTTTGCACTGGAAACGTACATTTAGGTATTTATATTCTTTGTATCGATAAGATCGATAGAACTCCACTTTGCAAGAAGACATTGCATCACATCGAATTACTAATATTTCATCAAATAATGAATTTGACGAAGATGGTTGATATTCACAGTTGCGTTTGATGTCCAACCAGACTCGTTCAATATAAACGCTTTTATTTTCTTTGCAATTAATATGCCCATAACTGTATTTGTTAATTTCCTTGTTTCTCGTGATGGACATACATTTTTCTCCTGTAAAAAATATATAACAAGAAATTCAACATGTATTTTGAAATAAAATGTACATTAAAATGAAGTTGAGTTTATGCATTTATAAGTAAACTATAAAATTTGCAAATCAGACTTAGAAAATATAGTTTTCTGCTATCAAAATCAAATGCCTTAGTTATGCATTGTGTTATTAAACATTTATATCTAGATATGGTATTCGATTTTTGAAACATGAACGATATATGTAACTGTTTTTTAATACTTAATATATGGAAATAAAAGCGATTTGCAATGTAAATAGATTATTTTTTCTCAATGATAATTTTTAAACACAAAAACGTTGAAAATAGATTATGTAAAATACGAACCATCTGTCGAATATTCTGCAAAAGCATATTTCACCAAAATGATAATAACACAGAATGAACATAGTATGTTCATTTTGCAGAAAACGGGAAGAAGTTTGTATTTCAATTACTTCCTTTCGGTTTTAGTTTTCATCTAATTCTTGATAACTCATTAAGTGGTAGGAAATACATGCCTACGTCTAATGTGATAAATTATTCACAACATAAACACACGATATTGAACATGTATATGCTGAAAGGGATAAGTAACTTTGTTGTTGAAGCAGATTAGGTAGCTTCTCCAGCAAATGCAAAGAAGGTTAGTAAAATATAGAATAGGATAATTGAAAAATAAAATATTTAAATGCATTGGGTGAAAAATTTTACGAAGTCACATATGAATGAAATAATTATGCGGAAATGTAAAAGGTAATCGTGTAAGATCGTTTTTCTCTTCCAATCAAAATGTATGCAGTAAAATGCTGAAATGATTCCTTGCAAGCTCAAAGTCAGCAACATTCAATACTGCTTTTCAAATATAAAAAATCGTGAAGGTTTACATGCTTCCATGGATGTTTAGTATAATTGATGATGTTCCTACTGAACACCAGTGGTCATGGTGCCAATCAAAAAGACAGAAAATATACTAAGAGGACATTTACAGAAAATTAAATCTAATATAAAAAGACGACACCATGACCAGAACAAAAAAAAGACGAAATTACAAACTTAAGTTCCAAAGCATCAAACAGAAAACAAAGGAACAGGAGAAACGAAACCCCACCAAAAATCATACGGAACGCATGTGATTCGAAAGGTAAACAGTTCCTACTTCGAAAGTGGCATCCGTTAATACGTCGAAACATGTGTCTGCAAGATAAAAGTATACAATTTCTGTTTTAAGATGAATACAAAGGACGATGAAAAGTATAATTGTTATATTTGATTGAAGTACCTTTAGTTTCACGCATTCAGTTTACAATCTACTAAGATATGTTTGAAAAAAAAAACGTTTTGAATTTCATGGTTTCTTTTGGTTTCAAATTATATGCATGCAGTATTTAAGATATAAATGTGAAATACAGTACAAATAAATGCAACAACATTACGTGACAGAAATACAGTACAAATAAATGCAAGAATATTCAAGACAGAGAAATACATAGATAAATAATATAATAGTACATTTCAACATGTAAACCACAGAATATTAACGAACACCTAAAATTAATTTACGACAGAACACAAATACAGCACAATAGAATAATAAACTGTGCATTACACGAATGTAGCAACGCCACAAAAAGTGACGTCATATGTAAATTTCTAAAAATAGAATATAAAATTGGAATCAAGTTTGCAATGGTGTCACCCGATGTATTTTCTAATCATTACAAAAATACCAATATAAAACTGTGCTAGCAATGGTGTAACCATTTGTATTCAATAACCAGTCCGTTTTTCTTCCAAATCAAACTGTGCAAAAACAAACAAATCCTGTGCATATAGTTGCTTTAAACTAAAATTCCTGTAAATGAAAAAGGTGATAAATATCTTTACTTTTACATAGAAAATAGAATTAAAACCACAAACGATAAGACATAAAACAACATCCAACCAGAATACAAATGAAAATCATAACTAAATACATGAATGTTGGATATACAAAAACCGAGACACGTCTAATAGAAATGCGAATTGACACTCAACAAAACAGTCATATTCGGGAATAGGTCACGTTCGGTACTTAGAAGACCAGACGACGTAGATAGTAAACCACAATCTAAGACGTGTTAAAAATGTCGTTAGTAAGTTTGTACACAGACACATCGTATATATCAACCAATTCGTGATGGTGTCCATAAAAATTACGGAGTGTCATTTTTAATCTTTCCTCCTCATAACTCTGTTGGAGCAGTTTCTGCGTAAGGAGCAAACTCCTGTATATGAAGTAAAAAAGAGCGTGGGTGTGTCCTGAGATGGTATCAGAGGTTTAGTTGCTATGCCGTCAAAATGACAAAGTTTAGATTTTTTGATATACTAATTTTATTTCATGTTCTTTACAGCACATTCATATTTTTTAAATGTTCGGAAGTTGGAAAACTATTAAAGTGTTTGTAAGATATAGATCACATGCGTGTATGACGTCTGTTATACGAACTAATTATTTAGACTATGGTTAAGACATTATTCAAAATTACACTATTGCACTTAGTGTTGATATTTTGTTAAAAATTTCAATTAGCCACATAAATATCGCCAATAATATACTAAGTACAAAAATTACATATTTTTATATCTTAATATGTTACATTATTTTGGAGAGTTATTAATTAATAATGTTGTTTTCAAACGAGAAGATGTTTCGAAGCAACAATCTCATCGAATGCGAAAGCCTTGAAATGATACTTGGCCGAAAAAATCCCCGAGTTTGAAAGACCATTGATAATCTGTTTATCGCTTTTTTGCCTATGACGTCGTTGATGTTTACATTGACAACGCCACATGCACCCTTAGTTTCTAACGAGGATTTTCTCTCTAAAGCTAGTAGCATGACATGAAAATTATCACAAAAAAAAAAGATCAAAGGAAAATACAAAAAATAGAGTCAATTGGGCTTTCATGGTAGATCATTTATTGTTTATGTATAACTCTTTCATAACTTAATAGACTCCGTTCGATTTAGGGCCTATCAAATTGGTTAAGCACCGCTCTAGTGTTTAATATGTCTAAACTGCTACTATGGTCATAAGTGTCATTGCGTTGCTTTAACAATGACGTATATTCCACATTTGTTTTTATGCTAAATAGAAATGTTTAGTTTAATATTTCAGTTAATTCTAACCATTGGTGCATTTTATTTGCTTCCGTTTCATAAAGATGTATTGTTTATTACATACAAATATTGATAATTGTTAATTAATTAACATCTGATGATTCCACAACGCTGGTTGCGTTCACTTCCGGGGCTCGTTTTTATTTTGTGTACTATGTATTGCATCATTTTAATTTTTCTGTGAATTGATTTCTGAGTTTTATTTGATTTTCTGTCGCTTTTCTCTATGCCAGCATTTTGTCTTTTTTCCGATTTGCGGTTTTTATTGAATGCTTGGTATTCTCTCATCATGTTATAGACAATGTTATCTGATCAAGCGGTCGAATAGTTTATCAAGTGAAAATATGTACAAAAACTATTTCCTATGCAATAAACATATGATAGATGAAATGTTTATTCAGTACGTTTACAATGAATTATGTTAACATCAGAAATACATTTTCATACATGTGGAAATTACGTTGAAATTCATTAATGATGGAAAGAAAATGTAAAAGTTATAACAGGACATAATTATATACACTTCTCATTCAAAAATGAATTTATGAATATCCACATCAACACACGATTTGATAAATAATGATTTGAACTAATTCAGCATTATTCATAATTTGCATCTAAAACAGCTGTACATTTGTGAATTTTTTGAAAAACATATCATTCAAATAGTTCGAGAAAAATACCTCTTTTCCGGTAACCAATCATGTAATAAAAAATCAGTTTATCCAATAAACCTTTGAATGTTTATAACTGTGAGTAGTCAGCATTTATTATGCTTTTGTTGATAATGATAAAACCAGATTTCGTTGCGTTTGTTCAATGAGTTCAAAACTTTACAATGTATATATATATATTCATAGATAAAAATCGATGACGTAGAATTTGTTTTGTAAAACTTTTGCCTTTTTCTTAAATATAGACGACAAGTTATAATATTTATCGCAACATTTTATTCATTCAGTGTTTTATTAGACGAATATTTACAGAAAAAAACTAACCTCTTCATTTGACATAGGAAGTGTATGCTTGTATGCTTAACATAGCCCTTCTACAGCTCGCGCCTATGCAAACACACTTGAATATTTTTTTTTATATAGCATTTTTTCAAGACTGCAATTAGAGACATCAATAGTGAACCGATGTTTAACGCCAAACAAATCCATTAAGAAGACATACATTTTGTAAACCAGGAAAATAGTAATTGGACAAAAGCCTTAGAATGAAATAAAGTAAAGCAGAGGTCAATATAGCTAGTTTGGTACTTTAAAATGCATAGAACCAATAAATCGGCTCAGTCAAAAAGAACATACAAGAAAGTAATATATATCTTAAATTAAATAGTTCCTACGCATAACTGTAACTTTGTCAATAAGTAAAATGTTTTTGTTAATTTTGGTATCGAATGAAAGATAAAGGATTTAGGATATCAATAGAATCCTTGTTGAAATAATAGTATAAAATGTATGAAATTATATAGGAGAGCATATATATTTGCCTTGTTGCTCAGATCAGAAGTATCTGTTTTTGTACTACCAACCCTCCGTGAAACAGATCTAGATTGACATTAAGGATGTTCGCTACTCTGTTTCAAAATTACAAGCCTTTTAAAAGACTGTTATACCAAGAGAGTATATAAATAAAGAAACTAAAAAAGCAGAAAAAATGAAGGGTATGTGTGCTTGTTTTCGAGATATAAGTCACTGAAAGTTTGGCTGGAAATGATTCTCTCTAGATTTTTCATACTTTTAACATTGTCCGCTTTCCTCCTTTCAAAACTATGAAAAAATAACAAGATTTTGTAAGATTTTCAAAAATGGCTTTTAAAACTATATGTAATAAAATTATGAAAAGAAAAGTAGGGGTTAGTGGACAACATTTTTTAATGGCAAAACAGGGATAAAACCAGAGGATTCCGAAAATCTGGCAAAAATTCAAAAACAAGAGGAGCGAACATCCTTAAATGATTGTCACTTTATTTGAAAAAAAAAGCTATCCATGCATGAAATTGCATAATTTAGCATAGAAAGCAATGGGGCGATGCATTATTGTTTTTTGTCTTTGTAGAAGACCATTACATGCCAGTTGTTATAAACATGGATTAGTACTAACAGTCTTCAATCCACAAGGCGAGCACACTAATAGATTGCTTACTCTACACATTACATACAATGGAATCTTTCAAACGAATTATATTCATCTATCAGAACTTGCATAATGTATTAAATATCTGGACCGATTATCAATTCCTATTTTTCAATCCAATATTGCAGAAGACATCTGCTTTACCTTAAGCGCAATCACAGTACCTACATTCTCATTGCTTACATTTTTAATAGGCCAGTTAGATA